TTTATTATTGTTTTCTTGCCGACCTGCTCCATGGTTTGCCCAGGGACTGAGGTGAGGCTGACTGGCCTGTAGTTCCCCGGATCCTCCTTCTTCCCTTTTTTAAAGATGAGCACTACATTAGCCTTTTTCCAGTCATCTGGGACCTCCCCCGATCGCCATGAGTTTTCAAAAATAATGGCTAATAGCTCTGCAATCTCATCCGCCAACTCCTTTAGCACCCTCGGATGCAGCACATCCGGCCCCATGGACTTGTGCACATCCAGTTTTTCTAAATAGTCCCGAAACACTTCTTTCTCCACAGAGGGCTGGTCACCTTCTCCCCATATTGTGCTGCCCAGTGCAGCAGTCTGGGAGCTGACTCTGTTCGTGAAGACAGAGGCAAAAAAATCATTGAGTACATTAGCTTTTTCCACATCCTCGGTCACTAGGTTGCCTCCCTCATTCAGTAAGGGGCCCACACTTTCCTTGACTTCCTTCTTGTTGCTAACATACCTGAAGAAACCCTTCTTGTTACTCTTAACATCTCTTGCTAGCTGCAACTCCAAGTGGGATTTGGCCTTCCTGATTTCACTCCTGCATGCCTGAGCAATATTTTTATACTCCTCCCTGGTCATTTGTCCAGTCTTCCACTTCTTGTAAGCTTCTTTTTTGCGTTTAAGATCAGCAAGGATTTCACTGTTTAGCCAAGCTGGTCGCCTGCCATATTTACTATTCTTTCTACACATCGGGATGGTTTGTTCCTGCAACCTCAATAAGGATTCTTTAAAATACAGCCAGCTCTCCTGGACCCCTTTGTCCTTCATGTTATTCTCCCAGGGGATCCTGCCCATCTGTTCCCGGAGGGAGTCAAAGTCTGCTTTTCTGAAGTCCAGGGTCCGTATTCTGCTGCTCTCCTTTCTTCCTTGTGTCAGGATCCTGAACTCGACCATCTCATGGTCACTGCTTCCCAGGTTCCCATCCACTTTTTCTTCCCCTACTAATTCTTCCCTGTTTGTGAGCAGCAGGTCAAGAAAAGCTCTGCCCCTAGTTGGTTCCTCCAGCACTTGCACCAGGAAATTGTCCCCTACACTTTCCAAAAACTTCCTGGATTGTCTGTGCACCGCTGTATTGCTCTCCCAGCAGATATCAGGGTGATTAAAGTCTCCCATCATCAGAAAATAGTGGTTAGTAATTACTGAAAATCTTCTGTGTGCTTGGTATTGTAAAAACAGAGAGAGACCAATTCTTTGAGTGGTGTCCCTATGGCCATGCCAATTCAGGTATGCATACACTTCTCAAGCCCTTGATCGGAGCTTTTTCCACTAGCAGAGCCTATCCGGCCCACACATGTGCCCTGTGCCTCCTCATGATGCACATCAAGGCTATATAGGGATGTGCAGATGAACTGCCCGCAGTTCCTTCCCCATAGCCTTGGCCTGAGATCGAGTTCTAGTTTGTCCGCCTCGAGCATGCCTCGGCTATTTTGTATTCATTTATGGTTGCTGAAGATTAGTTATTGCAATTAGTTGTTAGTAATGGTTCTAGTTAGCTAGTAAGAGGATAATTTTTTTTCCTCCTTGTGGAGCCTTGTCTTCCTGGTAGGGAATGCCTGGCTGTCCAGGCTTCAGATGCTGTGTCTCTTGCCCAGAGGCTATACCTGTGAGGGATGGCCACACTAAATGTGTCTGTTGCTTGGCGGAATCTCATGTCTCCCAGACGTGCAATTTCTGCCTAGCTGCCAAGTCTAGGGCATGGAAGAACAGGGAAATTAAGCTCAGACTGTTAATGAAGGAGTGCTCACTTTGACCAGTGTCTGAGTCAGGTCAGGAGACCACCTCACCTCCCCGCCCCCGCCCCCACCCCTCCTGGTACATCTGTGTTCTCTACATCTTACCTGTTACTTATAGACAACAGCTTTTAGGGATCAGAAAAAATCACCATATATACTCGATCATAAGCTGGTTCGTTTATAAGCCGCCCCCGCCCCCCCAAGACGGATAAGTAAAAATGGAAATTTTTTTATGACCCATTCATAAGCCGATCCTATAATTCAGGGGTTGGCGAACTTTGGCTCCCGGGCCATCAGGATAAGCCGCTGGTGGACCGAGACGGTTTGTTTACCTTAAGTGTCTGCAGGCACGGAGGTAAACCTAAGTAAACAAAGTGTCCCGCCCGCCAGCAGCTTACCCTGACAGGACAGCAACTGGTGGGGAAATTTTTTTGGGGGGAGGGGAAAGGGAAGCTAGGGGTCAGGGGAGTAACCCTGTGACCACCCCCCACATGACCCCACCCCTAGCCTGGGACCCCCACATTCTCCCTATCCCATCCCTTCCTATCTTAGCTGGGGCAGGCCAGGAGAGGATGTCTCTGGCCTGGCTGCAGCCTGCTCCAGTGGGCTGGGCCGGCGGCACGGCCGCAGCCTGCCAGCCCCAGAACTGCAGCTGCTTCGGAGGCTGGGGGGGGAGCAGTGTGGCCAGAAGCGGAGAGACTCTGGCCACGCCTCTTCCCTTCTGGCTCTGCTTGCTGTGCTGCCTCTCCTTGCCCCCTCTGTTGGGGGGAGGGGCTGTGTCCCACCTCTTCCTCTCTATACCTGTTCATAAGCCAACCCCCTTCTCTGGGGCTTCCCTTTTTTACTAAAAAAAATCCAGGTTATGAACGAGTATATACGGTACATCTGTCCTACAAATATCCATCTTGTGTCCATAAGTAAGCAAAAAGAAACCAACAAAAAAAGCAAGAGTTTAGTTAAATAGTTCTATGTCCTGTTCCAGAAGCAATGAGAAAATAGTGTGGGTGGTTTTGTTTTGTTTTGTGGGAGGAGGGGTCAGATAATCACAAATACGTTAAGTTGAGCTGGAGATGATCACTGAGGCCTAAGACATCCATTTAAGAGGAGTTGTATTCTATATTTGTTTGCAAACTAGGTAATTTAAATATGCTGAAATAATGAATGCTTTGTTCTTCCTTTCCCATCACAGCAAAACCTAATGAAAAGAAGCGTATTGATCCTAAGAAGTCTGCAGAATCCAAAAAGAAGGATGCAAAACCTAAGAGAGTCACAGAACCGAAGCGGGCTGTAGAGACTAAGACGGCCACAGAATCTAAGAAGGCTGTAGAGGCTAGGAAGACCACAGAACCTAAGAAAGCTGGAGACGATGAGGCCAAAGAAATTAGTAAACCTGTAGCTGTGCAAGGTAAGTTTGTAATGATACACTATCTGAAATGTTGTATTAAGTTATGTGAAGCTACTATTGATCTGATGGCTCCTTTAAAATTGTTCTTGTAGAGAAAATTACACTGACTTCTGCTCTGGAGGTGGAATCAAATCAGTCTATGGAATCTATAGCCAACAAAGGTAAATTACAGGCTAAACAGTTATTCACTTCTGTCATAAACCTGTCTGTATTTGCAAACTAAATGAGAATATTTTCGTATAGAAAATCTTGAGGCCAAGAACACTGTGGACGTGAAGACAGCTGAAAGTACCAAGAAGGAAAATGCTTCAAGTAGGTTCATGGAGAAAAACATGCAAGCAAACTTATTTTGCAGCGGGGGCTAAGGAAAGACTGTAATGAGAAAATATACATCTTCGGGGTGTATAATACTTACCTCTTGTATAGCACTTTTCATTTGTAGCATTCAATGGAGCATAAGTTATTTATTTACAAGTGGTTAGAGGAAAGGCATGAGCATTCCTATGTTTATTCCCAACTCTCCCACCAACTCATTTAATCTTGGTGCCTCAGTTTACCTATGTAAAATTAATTAAAATAGGCCCTGGTTACATTCTTATAACTGGGGTTCTAACCAGTTACTGACGTTCTTGGTTCTAAATAGGGTTTATTCACACAAAACATGGTTAATACTCGGTTACTGTGTACCTCATAGTGTTCTGCCCTTGCCAGCTGCTGATGGTAGCTCATGGTTGCTGAAGTAGTTGCAGGGAGACAGGTATTTTTGCAATATAGATGAGCCCCTTTTTACTATGCCTGCATCGCAAATTTGGTTGGTCCCTCACAACTTTGTGGTCAGGACCACTTCCCTGTATGTTAAGATGCTGCTCTGTCTGCATTTTTTCTGGGCACTGTGTTGTCTTCTGAAACACCATACGATAGCTGCACGTACTTTTCGCAGAATGCACGGATATAAACACAGTTAGGCAGCTTCGTAGGGGAGGATACAGAATCATGAGTGATTTCTTATGTGGGCACAACTCAGATGTGTTTGTAACCAGATCAGCTGATTGTCAACAACCTGGTTACAAAAATATGCTTGTTATATGGACAGGTCCATAGTGCCTACAACAGAGGTTCTCAAACTGGGGGTCACGACCCCTCAGGGGGTCATGAGGTTATTACTTGGGGGGTCGCGAGCTGTCAGCCTCCACCCCAAGCCCCGCTTTGCCTCCAGCATTTATAATGGTGTTAAATATATTAAAAAGTGTTTTTAATTTATAAGGGGGGTTGCAGTCAGAGGCTTACTTTGTGAAAGGGGTCACCAGTACAAAAGTTTGAGAACCACTGGCCTACAACGTATTGTGAGCTCCTCAGATAATGGCATTTTTTCAAATGCAAATTCCTATTGCTATTAAAAACTATTTTCTGAATAAATTTGGCTTGTAATTCCAGTTGTTACATGTATGCACTACCAGTGTAATGTTCTCCATGTCCAGTAAATGAAGACATGTCCCAGTATTTTCTATCACTTTGAAAATTGCCTTCAGAAGGATTGAAACTATAAATCTTAAAATGGCACAGTTAAGCAAGTGATCATTTGCATGAGAATATTTTGACAGATTATATGGGCATTCCCTGAATATATAAATACTTGTATGATGTTTAAAGATATACTAACTTAAACATCCCTCCGCCTGCTCCCTTTTTCCCCCCAGAAGCTACTGCAGAGTCTACAAAGAGCGAAGAACCAAATGAGCCAGCTAGCAAGGTCAGGTTTCACATTCAAACCAAAATTATTTGAATCTTTAAATATTTTTCAAGTACTAATTCAATGTTGGTGAAAGATACCTGTGTAGACATTACCAGGATCTCAGGTCTTCCCATTTATATGCATAATATATACAGGACAAGCAAAGAAACTTCTGCAGATTTCACATCTTCTTTTCCCAGAATTGGATGGTCCCTGTGAGAGAGGCAGATGTGTAAATGAGAGTAATTTTTACAATCAGTGTTATGGTCTTGGTCCATCTCAATATGTATATAGGTTACAGAGCAATGAGTCTCCAACTCTTCATTCTGCAGTCCACTCTGAAAGGGAGAGACTTTCTTATGGGCCACTTTTCCTCCAACTCTTTCCCTGCTCCACCTTGGTTCTCAAAAGTTTAATTCTGTAGGCCAACAGGAAAGCTTCCATGTATCTGCTGGTGGTCTACAGACCAAAGCCTGCAAACTTTTATAGAGCATGTTCTCATTTTTGTGCCCTCTTTCATGCCCTTCTCCTTGCCAGGAACTCCCTCACCACCCCCCATCCTTATTGCTCTAGGCAGCCACCCTTTTCAGTCCAATCCCTCTCTAAAACTCACTGCTTACATGATACCCACAAATGTTAACTCATGTCAGTAATATGATGCCGTCACCTCATTATAAAGACCCTCTGATTTACCATGTTCTTTGACTAAGGTTCATTGACCAGCCATGCTAGAGCGTAAACTCCTTAGGCTGGGTCAGTGCCCTTAGCACACACTGGCAGTCTTAACAAATGATGGCAGTGCCACTCACATATCCATAGTTAAGGCTAAGTTGAGTTTTACTCTTAAAGCAGGAATTTAACCACTTTGGTTTTTATGAAGAATAGAGTATATCCTCTTGAAAATTATAGTACTTGCTCTTTGAGTACAGAATGAATTTTCTGAGGAATTACAAGTAAATCAGTTAATTAGTTTCAGTTTAAATTCATTAAATGGGTCTTTCGAGAAATTCAGCATCCTGTGTCAAGCCATTTTTATGTAACAAATTATATTAATAGTGGAAGAATATAGAGCCTTCAAATTTCCCTATACTTAACCCCTCTCTTAAAATCTTGTGCATTGGCTTATATCAAGATTTTGTTTTAGGATTAATGGTTCTTTTTTGCTCTTCATAATGGAGAGCCTCTCTTCTGCAGGGGTTAAAGATGGTTTTATGCTACCCACCATCTTCCCTGAGGCAGCTTGGCTTCGGTCTCATTTGGAACTAGGAGGCAGTGGCCAATTTGAAGGTCATTCTGTTAATCATAATCCTGTAGCTCACATTAATTGAGAACTTTAGGAGTTGGCAGCCATTTTGAAAGAGGGTAGTTTGTGGAAATCTCTGTAGAAGAATATTATTCATTGACTCATTCTGAAGGAGAAGTTTTGTGAAGAATAATAGTAAAAAATGACTGACAATCCTAAATATTTTTTTTTTAAAAACTACCCATCTCTGCTCTATAAAAAAAGAAAAGGAGAAAAAAAAAGGAGGCTATTTGTGGATGGTGTGCAAGGACATTTATGGGAAGGGAGAGAAGAGAAAACTGGGATGTGTGTATGCATGTGTGGAGGTCAGGAGCTGGGGGGAACTGGCTAGTACACTGGCTGCTTTGTGCTCTTCCAGAGTGACATAAAGCAGCCAGTGTGTCCTTGTGCATCTGGCCCTAAAAGTTAAATAATAATAATAATAACAATAATAAAGGCTTGGGGTCAGTGCTACGTATCTTCTTAATAGTTAGAAGTATCATCTAGTAACATTAAGAAAAAACACAAAGATGAAGTTCATAAATCATTATGGGAATGCTGTAATGATTCCAGAAACAAGAATTACAAACCCAGGAAATTCAGGAAAAATCTAGTGTGTATTCAGAAATTGATTTAATCTAATCTGGGACTGCAGACTTTCCTATGCACTAATCATGGTTATTACATGGCATCAATACAGCGCAGAATAAAGGTGATTTTGTGTGTTTCCATACCCTAACATATTTTAAATTACTTAATCTTAATTCTGAATTTTCTGGGTTTGTAATGCTTGCTTTTGAGATAATTACAGCATCACCGTAATTTTATTCTTAAATATCTGCTATGTAGTCAGACTTAACTCCAGTTTAATGTCGTTTTTATCTGAGAATAATACATGCACTTTTAAGATAAACAATGAGAATTAAATTCAGAAAGGCTGACTGACAGTTGGTTTAGAGTAGAAGCAAGGATTAGTGAAAATTTGTACCTTCCTTTGTTTGCAGGAACTTGATGACATGTGTGTTGTTCTTATTTCAAACTTACCTGATAAAGGATATTCTGTTGAGGAAGTTTCCAACCTATCAAAGCCATTTGGAGGACTGAAAGATGTTTTAATTTTGTCTTCTCATAAAAAGGTATTGTAATTGGTAATTAGAAAAAAGTTGTCTGGTATATTACCATCACCTAAAGAAGCTCTCAAAGAAATTTGTAACAAGTTCAGATGTTGAAATAACTTAAAGGGGACACAGTAGTTCTACCTTTTTATTGTGCTTTGTGAGGCCACTTAGACTTCTTTTTTGTTTAAAAGGCATATCTGGAAATAAATCAAAAATCTGCAGATTCCATGGTTAAATTTTATACCTGCTTCCCAATGTCAGTGGATGGAAATCAGCTTTGCATTAGTATGGCACCAGAATACAAGAACATAAAAGATGAGGTAAGCAAATGAAATATGAAGCAATTTTTTTTTCTATTCAGGATAACTGCAGTTACTCAACATCCATTTTTATAGTACCTCCCTGCCAGTCTAGACTATTTCTCTCTACTTAATATCCATTAGGTCCCTGCTGTTTGAAGTTATTGTTATGTTGATTGTATGCCCTGCCTCCTCTCTTTCCTGGGCACATAATATAGGTTCTCTATAACCCTTTGGGTATATCCTATTTTAAAACTCGACTGTACTACTTTCCTAGTGTTTCTATTTTCATTATGAAGTATTTTAGTGAATACGGTTGTAGACAGAATTTTTGTTTGGCAAAGAGAATGTGAAGATCATAATGAAAGTAATTTGAGAGAGAGGTTGGCAATACCAAACTCATGAATTTTGAATGGTTGCCCCAATCTTAACTTTTCAGGTTCTGTTTCGATATATTATTGGTAGGAGTATTGGGATGCTGTGCCTTCTAATTACATGCAGCCATATCAACCATCTTCTAAAGTTCAGAACCTACCTTAACGCACTGTCTCTTCTTTCTAGGAAGCTATATTTACTGCTATTATTAAAGATGCCAACTCGAAGGTAAGTTAGAGACTTTTTAAAAATTGGTCAGTAATTTAGCCATTTGCTAATTGTTACATTTTTATAATTTGGGAGTGTAGCTGCTACACTGAGTGCTATCAAAATTAATAAAATGTTGTGTAAGTGTTGCATCCATTAAATAAAAATATTAAAAATTAACATTAGAAACAGAAGACACTTCTTTTTTTATTACTACACTTTTTATTTAATTAGAAGTCTGTAGTCAATAGGAGAGCTCATAGACCAGCAAGAAGTTAGCTGAGTAAGCATACACTTTATTTAGATACACGCTATGAATAAGTGCAGGTAATAAGCGTTTAATAGGAGTCCTGGGAGAGCCTCCTATTCATTTTCTCTCCCTCCCTCCCTCCCTCCCTCCCTCCCTCCACACACTTGCCCTCCCTCAACTTTAATAAAACTATAACTGCCAGCCATTGTAGCTCAGTAAGTCCAGCTGAGATGGACTCTTGATAGAGACTTGTACACTATTCAGGGATTAATGAACCTCACCAAGTATTTACAGTGACACTCGTACAGCGCTTTCAAAACAGTAGGGTTTATTAGTCAACTGAAAAGCAATATAGTGTGTCCTTAGGTTAGCATAGAGAAATGAAGGTTAAAGCATAGTCCATTTTGGTCAGCCCAGAGCACCAGCCATTCTGTAGTGAACTCCATTTTCAGGCTCTGTCTCTGTCTCTCTGACTTCCTTCCTTAGTCAGTTCCTAGGTGAGAGAGAGCTCCAAGCTTCTTTCAGAAGCTGACTCTTAAGCCCCCACTTCGCAGCTTCCAGTCCTTGTTCTCGAGCTGGGGTCTCTGCTCAGCTTCCCTGCTGAGAGGTACAGGGAAATCTGAGTCTTTGGAGCTTTCACTCTCTCAGGTCCCCTTGTTGATCTGGGTTCCTTTATGGCTCTTCATTCCACCCAGAAAGGGAGATGATCCCCACATGCCTATGTCTCTTAGTTGGCCTTGAGAGCAAACATCATCCTCCCTGCCCCCCAGTGGAAAGGGGAAACTGAGGTACACATAGAATTCATAAAATACTACAGAAAATTCCCATTTCATCATAGTAATCTACTAAAAATTGTGCAACTGGCATATTAGTGACTCCATGTATGCAGCAGATAGAAACCTTTTGAGCATTCTGACCAGTAGTTGGATCAGTCTTCATCTCTTCAGCAAACGTTCAGCTCCCTATTCGTTTATATATTAATCTTTGAATAGGAGGAACCCTCTACTTTGCTTTAACATGAGCCAATTCCTAAAATAATTTCCCACATCAAAGAAAGGTCTTGTCAGTCTTCAGACACAAACCTTGAGAAGGAGGAAATTTGGTTTAGACAGGTTGGAACTCAGACTTCAGAGTAAGCCCAAATTTGATTGTTGAAGAATGATTCAGAGACAAAGAAATACCAGGAGACAAATAGGTTTATTTGCCCAAGAAATAAAATCCCTTTCCAGCCAAGAGTTGAGGTGACAGGCTGTAAGTGGTTTTTTTTCTAAAGGAGTGAAAAGTTCTTACTGTTTTGGGATGTGGCCTTGTATACCAAAGTTGAAATTCTGAAAATATGAGCAGTTAAAGGATGAAGACAGAGTTCTTCTGGAGTACTCTTATAGAAGACATGTTGTGGTTCACTGAATATTCTAAATTGAAATTGAACTCCGAGTAAAAGGATATATATGAATATTTTTTCTCTTCAGATATGACAGGATTGTCACAGTAATTTTTCTGTATTTACCAGTTCAATACAATATTTCTGAAGTTCAGTCTTTGTGCTTTTCTTTTAGGTAAATACAGAAACTTTATATAATCAGTTTGTGCATCTTGGTAACTTACCAGATGATGGATACACAGAACTTGAAGTAGTTTGCGTGGGACTTCGATTTGGGAAAGTGGATCACTATGTTGTGTTGAAGAATAAAAAGAAGGTAAATATATATATATATATTTTAATCTTAGTGTGTGAGGCCCTTCATTTTCTATTTTAAAAAAAGGTATATTAAGTGACCTGATAATCTCTCATTAGCAACATATGCTGCTATTCCAGAGATTGAAGATTAAAATTTGGGACCTTGATTTTGCCCATTGTTGCTATGAACCAGTGCTTCTTGCGTCATAGAGAAAAGGAGTGGTATATGTTATTACCTACTCTGGCTGGTTCAGGAATAGTTTCAGAAGGCTTGGAAGAAAAAGGAATTGAGTTATCAAGACAGACAGCCACCAAAATATGTGCCTTTGAAGATGGGAAATGAGAGGTAAAGCTGATAGAAACCCAAACTTCCCATTCCACAGGGAAATTCCAAAATTCTGGAAAAGCTTTTCTTCTGTTTCAGAACAAAAGATGGATTTTTTTTAGAATTTCCCACAGAACTAAAATTTTGAAGAAATCATTTAGACAGCCAATCACTTTGGCTTTTTTAAACAAAATGTTTTGATTTTGACATTTTTAATTTTTTGTTTTATCTTTTTATGTGTATTTTAAATTAAAATGTAAAATAATATATAAAAATATTTTTTTAAATTACTAAAACAGCTGCTGCTCTAATCAGTAGCATGAAACATTTTATCTTGTTTTCTTATTTAAGTCTCGTTTGATGTTTTAATTAGGGCTGTCAAGCGATTAATCGTGCAATTAAAAAATTAATCACGATTAATTTCACGATTAATTGCGCTGTTAAACAATAATAGAATACTAATTATTTAAATATTTGTGGATGTTTTCTACATTTTCAAATATATTTATTTCAATTACAACACAGAATACAAAGTGTAGAGTGCTCACTTTATATTTATTTTTTATTACAAATATTTGCACTGGTATAACTACATCACTCAGGTGTGTGGATTTTTCACACCCTTGAGTGATGTAGTTTTATCGAAGTAAGTGTGTAGCATAGACCTGGCCTGAGACCGTGATTTTTAATGTTTAGCAAAGTTATGAATTTAAGCTCCCAGGCTCATCTTTTGAAGGTGGTGTTCAGGTTTCCTTTTAGGACAAGGACTTAGAGGTCCAATATAGAGTTGATAATATGGTGAAAAGTGTTCACCCAAGGTTGATAGGGAGCTTTTGTCTTTATCATTTTTCTGTGCAAGTTCATTTGAGAGCATAGTAATTGTCTGGTTTCACCCACATAGTTGTTATCGGGGTACTTAGGGCACTGAATGAGATACGCCATATCTTGTGATAGGCTGTGCAGGAGACTGGACTAGATGACCTGTTGGTCCCTTCCAGTCCTACTTTTCTATGATTCTATGTGTAGGACCCTGGATCTTGACAGTTGGTGGGGGAGGGGGGTTGATCATTGTAGAAGCGGAGGTATGTCTGTAGGTTTTACATCTCTTGTTGCAGGGTCTGGTTTCGCTTTGATTTGGTGAGTCCTAGTCTATGGGAGCTTGTTTCTGATGATGAGCTTGGCAAGGTTGAGGGGTTGTTTCAAGTCCAAAAGAGGAGGTTTGGAAAAGATTTCTTTCAGGGTGTGGCTCTCCATCGAATATGGGTTGTAATTGTTTAATGATGCCCTTTTTATGTTCTGGTGTGGGGTGGTAGGTAACAGCTAAGGATATGCTTACAGAGGGTTTTTCCCCCATGTTGAAGCAGGTTCTCTGGGTATTTGAGTAGCCCATTCCATGATGTGACCTACTTCTCTGGTGCAGTGTCCTTAAGTGATTTTGAGTGTGTTAAGGTGTGTATTCTGGACTTTCTTCTTGGAACATATTCGGTGGTATCTGAGTACCTGGCTGTAGTTAACAGATTTCTCGGTGTGTTTGGAGTGGTTACTGAATCTGTGAAGGTAAGTGTGGTGATTCTTAGGTTTCTTGTATATAGTTGTCTGTAGGGTTCTGTTCTTGAAGCTGATTATGGTGTCTAGGAAGTTTATGCTAATTTGAGTGTTCTAGAGAGAGTTTGATGGATGGGTGGTGGTTGTTGAAGTTGCGGTTGAAATCTGTGGGGGGAGTTTAGGTCGTTTATCCAGAGGATGAAAATATCAATGTTTCTGAGCTATATCTTTGGTGTTGTGGTTTGTTCAGAAATTCTTCCTCAAAGTGGCCTGTGGAGAGGGTAGAAAGACAAGGTGGGTGAAGTAATATCTTTTATTGAACCAACTCCGCTGGTGAAAGAGACAAGCTTTCAAGCTACATGGGGTTCTTCCTCCGGTCTGGGAAAGGTACTTAGAGAATTGTGTTTAGCTATGACACTCAGTACCTTTCCCAGACCTGAGGAAGAACTCTGTGTAGCTTGAAAGCTTGTGTCTCTGATCAACAGAAGTTGGTTCTATAAAAGGTATTACCTCACCCACCATGTCTCTCTAATATCCTGGGCCTAACATGGCTACAATAACACTACATACATGAAGAGGTTGATATGTTGGGGAGCCATCCTAGTACCTGTGGCTGTTCCCATGGTTTGGACAAAGCGTTTGTTGTTAAACGTAAAATTGTTATGGGTGAGAATTAAATGGATGAGTTTGGGGTGGGTATCTGAAGGGTATCCATTGTCTTGTAAATATCTGAGGCAGGGAGCAATGCAGTCCTTTTACATAGAACATAAGAATGGCCATACTGGGTATCCTGTCTTCCGACAGTGGCCAACGCCAGGGTCCCCAGAGGGAATGAGATGGTGTTAATCAAGATCTTAATAAAAACACTGGATTCATGGCTTATTACAACAATCTGTAACCCACCAACCCCTCTTTTTTGTCTCATGATTGCAGAGGTGTTAATGGACCATTTCACCTTGAATGGTCTCTTAGAATATGTGGTGACTACTTGTTTTAAACAGTTTATTCCACCTTGTATTTAGTTGTGATATTCTCAGTAGCTTTCCCAGATCTAAAGAAGAGCTCTGTGCAGCTCAAAAGCTTATCTCTTTCACTGACAGAAGTTGCTCCAGTGAATATTACCTCACCTACCTTGTCTTTTTTTTAAGGTAATTTAAAAAAAAAAAAGTTGAAAAGGTCCTAGAAATATCAGTATGGCTGAGGAAATAAGCCAGATGCAATAGCAACGTCACTTTAGTAAACCTATGTTGGTGCGCTCAACTAAGGAAAGCAAACCTAACCAGTATTGTTACTTAGAAAAGTGTTGGCTTTATTTTTTAATTATGCGTTCAAAATAGAATAAATAAATCCATGTGCTCATTTTTTACATTTTTTTTAAAGGCAATTCTTCAGCTAGATAGTCCTGACTCAGCTAAATCAATGTGCTGCTTCCTAAAACAGTACCCATATAACATGGGTGAAAATACACTGACTTGTATGCTATCACCAAGGACAGAACTTGCAGAGGTAAGACCATTGTCTTTTTGGTTAGACAACTTTTTTTTGCTTTTGTGGGCTATCTAGTCTTTTGCTAAACGAAAGTAAACACCAGTCTTGTTGGTGCACATTACTTTGGAGTCCTGAACCTCAGGTGCACTGAGAGTCAAAGCCAAAGTTTGAGTGCCTACGGCTACTAGAGAAATGTTCCAACAATCTACTAATGTGCACCCTAGAATAGCATATTGAGATTACAGTAATACTGCTTAATTTGCTTTTATTTTCTTGGAATATCTTTTACAATCAACTTTGTGTTTTATGGAATCTCTTCCCCCTATTAAAAGTATCTTCTATCAAAGGGTTAAGAGGAAAGTAATAGAAAAATGGTTAGAAGCACCTTTTCCCTATGGTTTTGAAAATACTTAATTTTAAGGTTCGCTGATCTTTTTCAGCCTCCTCCTCCCCTAAAAAATCCCCAACCAACTGTTGTTTGATCATCAGTTTGTGGGCCAGCAGCCACTTAAGTTACTTTCTTTTATAAAAACTAACTTTGGAGCATTGAACAGCCCCCAAATTTATCTTTTACAAGAGAAATTACTGAATATGGCTGAAAGCACCGCAAATTACAGCTGATGTGAAAGAGAGAAGGGTCAGTTTAGAACTTAATCTTCCCCCCACTCTCCAGCTGCACATTTCCCGCTGCCTCTCTCCACCATGTCCCCATAAGATAATTTTATTTTGGTCTTCACATTAACCTCTCTCCATTTCTCCTACCCTCCTTCCCACCCCCATTTAACAGGGATGTAGGAATTTTTTGTTTAGTCTTGCAGTCCCAATTGTTCACTGTTGGGAGTTCAGACACAACTGTGACAACATCATTGGCTAACTGGTCACTCAGAGTGAGGCTTTGACTAATCCATGTGAACAGCCAGACTCTAAGTATTTAAAAACAAAATTGAGCTTCTTGGTAGTCTTGGGGTAGATAAGGATTCTTTTTTGAGTTGTAATCTACTTGGATCCGACCGTTGGTGTGCATGCACCTCATGCACATACAATCCGATTCTTTTGGCTAGTAATGTCTGTTGGGGCCATGCCTGTGCCCTAGATGTCCTTGCATCTCCTGCACCTGAGGGTATAAAAGGCAGAGCAGGCCCAGTTCCTCCTTACTGCCTCAGACAGTGAGACTGAACCTCTGCAGTGTCTGTCTGCTTCTGTGTGCACTGTGCTGCTATTAGTGTGTGTTACTTGTATTGCTAGTAAACTAATTAAATGGTAGTCGTCTTGCTTGTAGGCAAGAAACAAAACTTGTTCAATCAATTATTTAGTTCTTAGACTGGTCCCTTCACCATTCCCTTATATGTGGGCTTGCACAATATGGCAGAAGCGAAATCCCTTGGATTCAAAACCTGCCCCTCGTGTGATGCTTGAGTGCTGCTTTGCGACAGACATTTCAATTGCCTCTTTTGTGTAGGAGAGGGATATATTCCTTAGCAATGTCCAATATGTCACTCCTCCTCTAATTGGACTCGGAAAGATAGAAAGGCATGCCTAAAATTGTTCCTCATGGAGCGCCCTATGCAAGCCTCTCGTACCCCAAAAGGAAGGACACGGCTAAACCTTGGTCCTCTGGTCAGTCCCTCCCAGTGAACAGCTTGGTGAGACAAGATTCCATCCAGAGCTCCTGTGCTACATCAACCAACAGACCTTGGTCATCCGCCTCCATTCTGGCATTGATGATCTTGAACCACAGGCAAGAGAGGTATCGGAAGTACTGACTCCATCTCCCTCTCAAGTAGAGTGGACATTAGAGCACGCTAGTATGCCTGAAAGAACAGCCCAACCTTTGGAGGAGGCCTACTCCTTTTCTTCCTCTCTTTTGGTGCACAGTAGGGACTGATCTCTCCCTCCCTTTCATGTAAATCACAAAACATGGTTCTTTCAAAAGTTTGCATCTGAACATTGACTTAATACAGCTTTGAAACTTTACTATGCAGAAGAAAAATGCTGCTTTCCCTTTATTTTTTAGTACTTTACATTTAACACAGTACTGTACTGTATTTGCTTTTTTTGGGGTCTCTGCTGCTGCCTGATTGCCTATTTCCAGTTCCAAAGGAGGTGAGCAGTTGACTGATCCGTACATAACTCTGGTGCTCATAACTCTGAGGTTCTACTTTCTAAAGAATGAGGGGCAGCAGCTAGCTGGTAGCCTGCACTTCCCTATAAGCAGCACTAGATGCATATGCAATGGCATGCTCCATGACTGTACCTGTGGTACAGAGACGATCACCTTGGCTCTAGGCATTGTGGATAACCAGGGAAGTTCAAATTCCAATCAAAGACCTTTCCTCAAAGGGCAGTGATCAGTTCAGAGACCAGTGAGGCCCTCTGTTCATTGAAGGACTCCAGGCTGTCCTATTCCCTGGGTCCTGTATTTCCCAGCCCCAAGAATGAAGGAAGCAAGCAAGACCTAAGCTCCTTCAGTCAGTGTTCCTCTCCTTAGTACGACTACAACCTTGAGAGGACTTTAGAACCACCAAGGAAGGAGCAGAGGTTCCAGTGCAGACAATCCTTCACCCCTTCCATTGAGCATCTTCCTCCCAGCAGCAAATTTGATGCCACCACTGAGCCTAGCAGAACCTTCTAGGATCTTTTTTTCTCCTCATTTTGACATCCAAGCCTATGGCCTTGTGCCTTTCAGGCATTAAGAACTCACTAATAGGTTACTTCAGCAGACAGCTCTCGAACAACTGAATGGTTGACCATGGATCCACTGTTTAGAGCATCTTTCGCAAATGAGGATACCCATCAATAAACCGGTTTGCCATAGACCTGTACAAGGAAGGCCAAGTGTCCAGAAGGAGCTCTAGTCTGGGCTCCATGTCAGATGCCTTTCTTATCCCCCGGGGAACTTGTGCCTGATCCCCATGATACCAAGGATGCTGAGGAAACTAAGATGACATGCTGGATTGATATGATGGTCCCAGCCATGGGTCGAGCAATTCAGATATTCAGGTCTGGTGAACCTCTCACTGCAGCCTCTGGTCACTTTGCCTGCTCTGCGTGACAGTCTTTCAGAACAATAGTCGGTTTCTACAACTGGATCCAGCATTGTTACATCAGACACCGGGGATGCTGGCTGGCTTGCATTCATTGAAAGAAGATTTTCAGCTGAAGTTCAGAAAAATCGGTCTAAAACAGGAAGTTTCAGCTAGACTGACATAAAACTAAGTGGAAGAAGTGATGGACTCAGGGAGAAGTCCATCTCCTTACCCCATCCTGTATCTGTGGTTTCTCAACATTGGTACTGACAGCACTGCCAGTAGAACTGTACCCAACTTTTTCACCATCAGGTGAGTTAGATGTACCAGTGAAACAGTTGTCTTCTCCACCAAGAGAGTTCAACCAGACAAAGAGGATCGAGAATCTCCTTGTACCAGTTTTGTCTGCCGAAGCGCACTCCTTGGAAATGATGGTACCCAGTGCCATCACAACCTACTTCCAACCTCTCATGATGATCTTACTGGGATGTGGGTGTACGGCTCCCAGAGTCTATGATATCAGTGATAGGGAATCTTACCACACTTCCTTTCAAGAGGCTAATTGGAACCTCCTGAGCCTATGGAAGAAGAAGAGGAAAATGAGCCAAATCTGCTGGTGCCACCCGAACTGACAGGTGTATCATCTTGCCCAATGAGGCAGTTGCTCCAGCCTCTGTCTCCTCTGGACAACCACAAACAATTCAAAGAGCTGCTTCAGAGAGTGGGAGAACAGCTCCAGATTGCCTTATAGGAGGTCCAGGACCCAAAACACTCGCTCTTGGTCGTCCTCTAGCCTATGGGATCCAGTCAAGTAGCAGTCCCATTGAATGAGGCCATACTGGAACCAGCAAGAACTGGTACAGCATACACCAGCTACCCGTGTTCCTACCTCCAAGAGGGCAGATAAGCAGTGCTTTTTCATGGCTAAGGGAGCTAAGTTCTTATTCTCCCACCCTGTCCTGAACCCCTGCATCATCCAAGTAGCCACAGTAAAGTCCAGACAACAGCACCCAAGGGCCACTCCTTCAGATGCATTGTAAGATGCAAATGTGCTTTCTGTAACCATTGCCCATATCTTGCTTAGCACCAGATAACGTGGCTTTGTTACAATACACGTTTAATGAAATTAGAGCTCAATGCAAACAAAGAGCAGCTTCCAGCACTCTGTGCTTTCAGAGCAGCATTTTTTTCCTCCTCTGTGCTTTGGAGGATACAAGGGAAAAACTAGTGTCCATATAGCAGTCAGTCTCCAACAACATGGCAACATCTGCATACAAGCAGTAGGGGAGATAGGGCTCAGGCGTTTTTACCACTGTTATGAAAACCTGCAGGTGGTCTTGACAGTAGTGACAACGCCTGTGTGTTCGACACAGTGGTAAAAATGTCTTGAGCCATGCCTATGTAAGTGGGTGATGCTGATGGTATTTCACCATTTGGTGGCTGTTGTGTGAATACTAACTTGTCTAATGTAAACACACCTATATGTGTACAGCCCATACATCTGAAGATGGCTTATAGGTGTGGACATAGAATAATACTGTTACTACACCTTCTAGCCTCATGAAAGCAGCGTATATCAACATTGTTAGCAGCAACCATGCCTAAATGAACATTCATGTTAAAACCCATTTGATATAAAAAAAAATGTCCTTACCTATGATACTAGTAACACCTAAAGTTATTTTAAAATTGCAAGTCTTAACATTTTAACTTTTTACTCTTGTTTACATCTTGTTTGTCATCTTAAAACTGAAAATCAGTTTACTTTCATGTTCTCGTGTACTAGCCCAATGCCACATTGCTTGCAATGCAGGGGAGCATCATCTATTTCTATTACATTTCTATTGATATTTTTAAAACCTATGGAAATACTTCTATTAGGTGTTGTAAAAAAGATGCTTTTACAACACCTACGTTGTTTGGTTCTAAATTAGAGCTGATCTTGTCCTTTAAACATGCTTTTATCTAGCACTGTTCTAATCTATGTGAATAGGGCCTTACAATTTTCACGCCACAATCCAAAATCTGTACTTTGTAGGTGTACTTTCCAGTGCTTCCGAGTTCTGTTATGCGTAGCTGGGTAGGAGAGGAAAGTGCCTGTAGTGGGTCACCTGAGTACGGAGAGGATGAGTCCTCCTTTGTTCCTTGCTGCTTCCAATCCCAGCAACCTCTCAGTGTGCATCACCCTTCTTTGAGTTTTACAGTGGTGAAACATCCTGTTATCCACATTCTGTAGAGCCCAAGAGTGCCAGCTCTATTTCCCTAGATGCATTCTTTTCTCTAAAAAGCCTCCCATTACCTTTTAATTTATTCTGAAAAACCAACAAACAGTTAAGCTATATTTTTCTTATTTCCAAGCATGATCCAGTTACAAAGTGTACAAACTGACTTTCTTTACTCTATTACTAAAATCTGGTGTTGGATGGATGGGAGAGAAGTGATAATACTGAAATCATATGATCTGAAAATGGGTTCCAGAACAGTTTTTGTCATTAGAGTATACCTGCAATTCTTTCTAAAGGTGATATTCTTTAATTTAGTATAATATAGTTCTAAACACTATATTTCTACTTTGAACCAAAGCCTAGCACTGCCACTTTCAAAGTCCCTGTTACTACTTAAAAGGTTGTTAGAACTTTACTCCCCATCATAGCAGCTGGAGAGCTTGGATTGTTAGTGGTTTGTTTTTCAGAGGACAGAGTCCCTAAATTTTAAGAAGTGAGTTTAATTATTTTAAAAACAAAATGGATTGATTATCCTCTAAGAAACAGGTGTCACATCAGCACATTTTGGAGGGCGGAGTCAAACCTTTAGCTTAGTACAGCTGTGACATTTGTTGTATTTAGAACATACATTAGAATATCTTATTTATAGGTAATTTATGTCCTCTGCATATCTGTCTCTTGACAGACAAACCATGGTTGTATCAGAGCACTACATCTTACATTGGTGGGGATACTAAGGACCAGAAAGAGGGTGCTGCTTAGAACAGGGGAAATATGTTTAACACACTTCCTCCTCCCTATTTCCCCCCCGCCACGTAACAAAAACTAAATGCTAGGTCCTTTCAAAGTCATCACAGCTATAAAGAGCCACAAGACGTCAGGCTAAACCACATCTTATGAAATGTGTTCTGAAATGAGAAGACCTTTTAGAATGACTTGCATTATTCACTGTCATTTGATCTTTCAGGTGTAGTTATAAATGGGCTATGTGGTGCTTTTAACTGGGTGTATTGGGCATATATACTTTTTTGTGCTGTTATTTCTGAATTGCATAGATGTTCAACACTCGGTGATTTTATGTTATAGGCTGAAGTTACAAAAAAAGAGCTGAAAAACCAAGAACCAAGTAAAGGAAGGTATGCTTTTCAAATATTTAAGTTAATTTCTGTATGCACTGTTCAAAAAGTGGCCCTCCATGATTGATGAATTAAGTAGTCTACTACACATTTCTCTCAAAAGCAAGCTATGTATAAAGGGGAAAAAACTGCAATTGGATTGTTTAGAGATGTGCTAGTAGTTACCTACTGCCACTTCCTTTTTTTTTTTAGTTCTCTCTCTGTCCTGTGTATCAAAGACATTTACTTTCTTAAATTGCAGAGGTTTTTTTTTGTTTTTTGTTGTTGTTTTTTTAAATGTGTGTTTGCTTGAGAGTCTGGGGTCTGAATGAGCATGGAGAAATGGTGAAATCCTGGCCCTATTAAAGTCAATAGTTTTGTCATTAATTTCAACTGGTCCAGGATTTCACCCATGTGCTTAAGTTATGGTGGAAGACTCTATTGCTGAAAAAGTTCTCATTGTAGTTGGCCAGTAGATGATTTCTATATTTCATCTTTCAGTGCTGTCATTTATCAAGGCCCAAGATCTATTGCTTCGGTTTCCAAATGCTAAAACAAATTAGAGGAGGTGGTTCCGTTTTCTAAATTTACTTAATACTTCTGTCTAATTGATATAGGCCACTAACTAGATAATGGAAAACTAGTTTAGATATTTAACTTTAACATCAGAATCCAGAAAAGGGAAATTATTATTTTGTAATACTCCGTGGACATTTTTTTAAATGCACCTTGAATGCCTGAATGATTGTAAAATATCTAATTATGGAGTAACTAACTATTCATTGGTTCTAGAATATAAAACATGTTTTGCAAATACTTTTTATCTCAAATGACAGTAGATCATACAAAGTACTTCCTGTAGGTGGGAAAAGGATAATTTTTGTCGTTAACATGTTTTCTGTGACTCAGATCCACTTGTGTGTGTGTGTGTGTGTGTGTGAGAGAGAGATTTAATCTATAGTGCTCTTTAATAATAGTTCTAAACTTACCATTTAATGTAATGTTACTATAATGTTGTGCACTATTATTCTATAGTATAGTAACATTTTATAAGATTTTATATGTAATGTCACACAGCTGCTAATGGTGTAGTATTTTCAAAGCATGGTTTCTTCCTTCTCTGTGCTCCTGATGATTCTCTCAGGTCTACGTGCTGGTTTTGAAAATAATATCAAGCTGTGAATGTAAAACAAAAGTGTATTAAGACATTCCTAAACTTATGAGTGGTGTTCAGAGCACATTGGAAGTTGGAAGCTTAGGGGAACTACTTTTGAACTGGTGGTTCTGAGTCACACCAATATAGATGTTCAGGTAACCTTACTGATTCCAGATTGATGGATTCTAGGTAGCAGCTGACCTACCAATAAGGCACAATACAAATTAATCTTATCCTTATGAGTCCCAGATACTGCACAAAGTAGTACTGTGGCTGGTGAACAAATGAACAAAATAAAGTTTTTGCTTACCAACTTCACCCTGTACAGATTCCCTTTCAGCCTGTGAGGCAGTTGTCTCCATGTCGGAATGATCCTTACATTCAGCTTTGTAAGCCTTTCTCACCAGGCCTGTTATCCTTTTGAGATATAATCACCATATAAGAAGCAAAAAAGTAAGTCCCATAATATGGGAAGAGTGCTATTTTATTGTCACGCTTCCCCTCCTCCCCCCTGGAATTTTTCTGTGGAGAGGAATGGGATAGGCTAACTTGGGGAGAGAAGGGGGATCAGTATTCCTGATTCCTATGGATGGTGGAGATAATCTTAAAGAAATCTTGGAATGTTTCTTGACATTTGATCATTATCCAGCATGAAGAAATGGCCTAAAGCCATTCACCAGGCCTTCTGGCTTGGGTGGTAAACCACTGGCATGGATAGCCCGACTGTTTCTAATAATGAAGGTGGCGGTTTCTTTCAGCAAATGTAGTCAAGACTTTTCCTGTTCCAGATTAAGATTACAGAAGAATTGAAGACCAACCTGCAGTCTTTCTTAATCTGAGTTTAAAATGGAGAATTAAGGATTTGCCTCTATTATCTTGCATCCTTTATGGCACATGCCTGCTCTCTTTTGGGTTGCTCTGGAGCTGACCCTTTATTTTACCTCCATTGTTAACTCTGATGGGTAGCTCTGAGTGAGGGTGGGTGTTTACACAAACGACTGAAGATGCAAGACTGGAGCATCAGATGTTTGTGGGTTTTACCCGTTTTATGCAAAGGGAAATATCCTTCTGGTAGTGCAATATGCCACTTCCTTCCCAAAGCATAGCAGGGCTTTCAAGTCCTTGCACCCGTTATTTTCAAACATCTTGATATTTTTGCCTCACTCTCTCATCATTGAACTTGCATAGTTTTGCTTCCTTGCCCAGAATGTATCCGCCTGGACCGTGAAAGTCCAGTTTGAATCGATCAGATTAATGTTTTTTGGAGACCGCCAAGGTACTTTTCTCTCCGAGAGAGAGACGTCACACAGTCCTGAAGTTCCACAGACTGATCTCAGTTGATTTATGTAGGTGATGTGTGCGTGTGCACTCACAGCATTCACTGTAAGCAGTTGAAGATGCAAGTAATATATAGTTTTGCATTATTTGCTGGTATTTAATAAACTTGCTGTTTTTCCCATTCCTGGTAGAAGCCTATGGACAGATTCTCCCCCTTTGCAGATGCTGAGCTCTGTGCAGTTTGGCAGGGGAGATGGAGTTTATCTTTGATCAAAATCTCCATGCTTCTTAAATAGAGCTAGTCTTTCAGGCGTGTCTCTTTTGGCTATGCACTCCATCAAGTTCTCCAGATGAGTTTTTTACTACATACAAAACACTAGGCAAATGTCGCGGGGAGCTATTGTATGCCCAAATAGAAGGGAGATATATTTGAAATAGATCTCACTTTTGGAACATAAAGGAGTCTTTGGTATTCAGAGACCTGTCTTTCTAAGGTGGTTAAATACCAAAGTGTCTTCGTTGTCATGACTGATCAGTGTTTTAATATTTGTGCCACGAGAAACAGATTAGTTTTGTTTGGTCAAAAACTAATTGAAACACTTTCACCCCAACCACCAGTGTTTGGACACGACTGACTTGAAATGACTAAACTCCAAGCAAATTTTTGGAAGGAGAAAATTTTATTTGAGTGGGCAAGTGAGAAAATGTTTCTATCACTTTTATGAGATCTCCAATTACCATGAAGTAAACAATGAGGCATGGGAGGAAACTCCCAAAATTCCATGCAAGAGCTGTTCAGAAACACACAGGACCCAGTACTCCAAGAGAGATTTTTTTTCTGCTGTACGTTGGAATGCTGTGAGCCTGCCACCTTTTAGGGGGAGGACTGCAGTAGATCCTCTCTCACAGATGGAAGCTGCTCGACTACATTTTCCTGCAAGTTTTCGTCTGATTCTCTGATGTATAATAGGTTACAACTGTGTTTAATCTATAGTGATACTTGACCTTCTGAAATAGAACTAGCCCCACTCTTCCTATTTCTCTCCAATATATGTGGCAGACAAAGATGATGGTGTTAGGTGCGAAGTAAGCTTTCAAGGCACATTGAGGTGTGCATCTTGTTGTGCTTAGGTGATGGAGATTTATTCTTTATTGATTTTTGGCTGCTTTAATTGTTTTGACTTAATGTAGTCTTTAACACATGTATATCTTACCACATCAAAGTTGGGCCTTCGGTGATTGATTCCGTTTGCGTCAGCTTTGAACTTTCTTGATGTCAGCATGCCAGAAGTATTAACAAAATGGCAGCCCTTCACGTACCCTTCATGAAGATTCATATAGTTGTGCATATATTTTTTTATATACTTTGGATCTGAGAGACCATAGTAAAGATCCACATCTTGGTGCATATCCACTTATTAACCAGTTTTCTGTTTATCCCCTCTGGACTGATCATCTACATATGTTTTATCACCTAACTAGAACATCAGAACTGATTGATGTATTGGCATCTTTCCATCTAGTTTTATGTAATCTCAGGATGGCCACTTTCAGGAGTCACGAAGAAGGAGATTTAGACATCTCCAGCTTCAAAGTTTCCCAAGAATGTCTATGGGCAGTGCTTTCTTCAGAGAAAAATTAATGTACTTGCCTGTAACTGAAGTTCTCTGAAAAGTGCTATCCTGTACCTTTGTCATCCTGGGCTTTATTATCTTGGGAGCTGACAGTAAGCTTAAACAGCAAAGTATAGCATTGCAGAAAGGAGGCCCTGTCTGCGCGTGGCCTTTCCCACAATTATAATCGATCATTTCATTTGAAATGGAAACTGCTTATTAAACTCGTGACATTTATGAGGAGATCAGTAGGGTAGTTACTGTAGAGGATATTATCTTCGAACAGTGCTCTTGGAGAGCTGAGAAATTTATCATAGTTTTTAGACTATTTTTATATAGAAAAACTGATAGTTACATTTTGTGTGTGTACACAGTCTGTCCCACATCAGGGAATCTAAATTTAAGCTTGCTTGTCAGCTCTGAGGTCACAGGACACATCTATAGTGTATAGTACCTTCAGAGAAATCTAACTACAAGTAAGTAATGTAATTTGAATTATAAGAGGTCTTCAGTACTGAAGTGGATTAGACAAAAATTGTAAACTAATCAGTTATTTGCCTCAATATTCTAACCATTTTAACGCTGATAGGCTAGATTTCCCAATGCTAAGCCACTAATGCATCAGGAAATCCCAACCATTGGCGTCAAGAGGTTACTGATAACTGTGGAATTCTCAACATAGTTTGATTTCTTTTGTTTTTTTTAAATACATTTAGCTCTGACTTGAAAAAAAAACCAGAGGGATCAGGAGTGGTGCAAACAGCAGCTGCTAATCCTCCAGTAGAGACTAGTGTGGCAAAGGAAGAAATCATTTCCAACTCTGTCAAAGCCAAGACTTCAACAGTGCAGATAGAAGCCTCTGAGTTGGAGCCTGAAAGAACGGTATGTGATTCTGCTACAAAACCATCGGAAGTTGAAACATCCAAGGGGGAATCTGAAGTTGCAGTTACTGGCTCAGAAACCAAACCAGCTGATGATGAATTATCCAAAGTTAAATCAGAAGAGATCCTGCTGCCTCCTTTCAACCTTCAGAAGGAAGAGGTAGTTAAAGATAACTGTGAAACAGAATTGTTGGAATCTGCTATCACAACTGTAACAGAAAGAGAAACTAAAGTGAAACCTGAAGAATTTCCTGTTCCTGCCAGTGGATCATCGGAAGAGTTATCCAGTGTGGGCAAGCTAGAAGATGTGCAGCCAGACTCTGCTGTGAAACCAGCAACAGTGGAAACAGCTGAGGCTGTTTCTGAAGCAGTGCCACCTGATTCTGCTGCAGTTTTGGTGGAAATGCTGTCAGCTGAAGACCTACAACCAAGCAACAAATTGGATACTCCTGTAAAAAATGCTGTTACTGATACAGTGGAAACTAAACTTGAAATACCTGTGACCAGTGCTGTGGGGTCTATAGAGAAGAAACCAGAAAAGTCAGTGGCCAAAGTTGGAACAGCCTTGGAGAAGAAACTGGAAAAGTCAATGGTTAAGATTGGGACAGCCACGGAGAAGAAACTGGAAAAGCCTGTAGCCAGCATTGGGATGGGCATAGAGAAGAAACCCGAAAAGCCTGTGGACAACGTTGGGACAGATGTCGAGAAGAAACCTGAAAAGCCTGTGGACAATGTTGGGACAGATGTCGAGAAGAAACCCGAAAAGCCTGTGGACAGTGTTGGGACAGACATAGAGAACACTGAAAAAAATGTGCTGAATGAAAAGAATGAGCGAACTTTAATCAAGGCACATCAAAATAAAGGACCAGGACAAATTAAAATAGATGAAACCAGCAAAGCAAGTACGTCAGCTGCAGCATTTGTATCCATCAAGGAACCTACCTCTGTTGGTAAAACAATCTTAAAGGCTGTGGTGTCTATCCCTGATATATCAAAGTCAAGAGTTATGATGCGGAGAAATGAGACTTCTCTAACTAAAACAGAGGAGCAGAAAGCTTCCTCAAAACCTGAGACCAGAAGCAGATCTGCTACTGAGAAGAAACTTTCATCAAAAGAAGTGGGTCAACCAAGAGCTACTGGCAGCAGATCAAGTCTGCCAGATAGCATCACCAAATCTAAACTGGACATAAGTCCTGTTGTTGTAAAGGGAGGCAGTGGGAGGAGTTCATCTCAGCAAGACAAGGACTCAAGAGTGGAATCTAGGGGTAGTTCAAAGCAGTCTCAAGAGAGAGAGAGTAGATCATCCAGCATGAAGAAAGACGACAACAGCAATAAGGTGAGAAGGGCAGGAAGGCTGGTTCAATGTGACTGACCAGTAACTAACTCTGATGCTTCTCCCAGATGTTGAATATGAGACAGTAAGATTATGTTCCCCTTCCCCTTTCTATAAACTATTGAACTGATTTGGGCCAACAGACAAGTTGGAGTAGCAGGATGGCAAGCAACCAGTTGTGTACAACTCAAGTATGTAACTGGTTTGAAAATGTTACTTGGATAAAATTGCAGGAAGGTAACTTCTGTAAGCAGGTCTGTACTGAGTGTCATAACTTTATGTTCTTGGTATAGTTCTGAATGGGAAAGAAGTTTTCTCTCCTTTTGTGAGCTGATGCTTCCTTTGTCAAGTCCTAGATTATCCCGCACAGGCACTGGTTGCTGAAAGGTGAACAGATAACTAGACAAGACATTACCGGTGACTTGGTACTAGAGACTATAGGCCTGGACTTATAATTGGTGGTTGGCTTAGTTCTGTACATGCCAAGCATGCAATCAAATGCCTCTATCTGGACTATTTAAAAAGAACTTCATTAAGAGAAGAAGTTGTTTTTGACAAGATGGTTGACTGGCTAACTTGTTTCATTTTAATTTTTGTCTAATTTTGCAGGTTCCTGCTGGTCGAATTAGTAAGAATTCTAAAACTGTCTCTAGTGGCAATGTAAAATCAAAAGAGGTAAGGAACCAAACATAGTTGAAACTTACAGTAGCAATTTTCTTTAAGAGAACAAAATGAGTTTAGCGTTATCTCTTGAGAGCTCTTGCTTAGTGGATTTTTCAGAATACTGTTCGTTAGAACTTTTTATTAGTTGTCTGTAAAATATGTTCATTTTGGGGAAAAGAGAGCCTGAGTTTCCTGTTTCAGGAATATAAAAAGCTTAACTTTTTTTGAAGGGGTAATTTTTAGGTCCTAAATCTTGCCTGCTTCAAAAAGGAGCCTGTCTGACTATTAGATCTCAAATTTGCCTATCTTAGATCTCTTCCTTACAAGTGCAGTGATGAGGCATGGGATAAGAATGACAGAGACAATCTTCCCAGGTCCTCTCTCAAATAACTGGTGTAATGGAAGGGATTAAAACCAACCATAATAACAGTGCCTCTCCCATAAACAAATAATTTGTGTGCTTTATGCTAGAGAGAAACAATACTTGCATTCCTGATATACTGTGGGTTGAAATAAGGGGTTGGTCAGGATTAGGTTTTTATAGTTTTTACAGATAGCTGAGTTGAAGTCTAAATTTATGACTCTCCCTCTGTTTCATATTGTTTGGGGGGGTTTGGCAGGAAGGGGGTAGGGGTGGGAGAGAAAAGTCAGTTTTTCAATATGTGCTTCCTTTGCTTACCGTAAAGCAGATGTTGACTGACACTATTTCCAGAGCGGTGCTAAAATCACTGAGATTGGTATAGATGCTGCAAATTGAAAAAGGCACAGTAAATATGGAAAGTCAGTTACTAATCAGGGATTGATGATGTGTAGCTTTATTTTTCACCATTCTGTAGCTACTTGACACACAGTATTTCTCCACTAGCAGGGGAAAAAAAGAAGACAAAAGCCTTGTTTTAGTTAAAGATGTGTAGCCAACCACTCTCTCCTTCCCCTCCAATCTTGGCTATATATTCCATCTGCCTTACATAATCATCTTCTTGTCCTCTTTTGCTTTCTGATCGGTAGAGAGACACTGTTTTTAGTGCTTATTGCCTGCAAAATTTGAGAAGACGACCTACAATAATTTCATTTTTGAGTTCCAAAGAAGTCATTTAAAAAAAACTTGACTGTATTCTCTTTCCTTTCTTAAAATGGCATGTGACATTGCAGGTCTATCAGTTCTTTGTACTGGCAATTTGATTTTTGCCAGGACTACCAAAAAACAAGGAATAAGGGTACAGTCACTTTTTATATAGCTATGATATTCGATAGGAAAGAGTCAAATTGCTTTGGGCCTAAACTGTTACAGGAACAAGTTTTTAACTCTCCATTACTTTTTTTTCCATGAGTTTCTTGTGCATATGTTCCTGTTGATATGTAGCCATTCACATAATTAATGTTTTGTGCTACATATGCAAAATAAAATGTCTTTGATTTCAGTGGGATTTGTCCATTTTAGTGTATGATACATAGGTTAGCTATTGGACTTTAAAATTTCACTGTCAACTTCAAACTTGCAGATACTTTCACAACCACTAAATTCACTTGAAACATTGCAGTTTCATGTTCTGTCTTAAAATGTGGATGGCAGACATTATAGTATTGGTGCACTTTGCCTACTAAATTTATAGTTTTACATTTCGCAGGAAGAAGAGCTTTTCCCATTTAACTTGGATGAGTTTGTTACTGTGGATGAGGTTGTAGAAGAGACAGACTCTCCTCTTCAAACCAGACGAAATCCACCCCGGGGGAAAAGAAAAGACTCTGCTAAAAATAACGCTTCCTCTGAGCCTGTTGCTAAGAGGAAGAAAGGTAAAAGCTCCATAGCACATGTTGCTGAGAGCGAATTATCCTTTGTCACTTTGGATGAGATTGGAGAAGAGGAGGAGATGACTGCACAACTGGTAGGAGACTCCAATTTAGAAGCAATAACAGACCCACAGGGTCTTGTTACTGTGGATGAAGTAAATGAAGAGGAGGAGCTGATTTCAGAAGCAGTAAAAGACCCACAATCACTTGTTACTTTAGATGAGATATCTGAACAGGAAGACTTTTCTTCACATGATGTACCTAAAGATGTCTCCAGTTCAGTTTATGAGGAGCAAGATCTTCTGAAAGCAGAACCCTTGGTAACTGTGGATGAAATAGGAGAAGTTGAAGAGCTCCCTCTAAATGAGCCTTCAGATTTGAATATTGAGGAGACGTTAAAACCTAAGGAAGAGGATGATAAAAGGGCCATTGAGGATCCTGGAGACTTTATCTCTTCTCAGCTGCCTGAAGATCCTAGTACTTTAGTGACGGTAGATGAAATACAGGAAGACAGTGATGATCAGCCTCTAGTAACTTTAGATGAAGTTACTGAAGATGACGAAGACTTTTTGGCAGATTTCAACCGTTTAAAAGAGGAACTAAACTTTGTTACTGTAGACGAAGTTGGGGAGGAGGATGAAGAGGAAGAAGAAAATACTTTTATAGGCACAAACCTGGAAGAGGAGGATATTGTTGCAATTGCAGGACCAGAGGAAATGGAAATTCTGGCAGATATAGGGCCAGAAGAGGAGGCTATTATTGCAAACTCAAAGTCAGAAGAAAAGGAGACTCTTGAAGCTGACACAAAGGAAATAGAAAAGGAGACCCTTGTAGCAGATACACAGGAGGCAGACAAGGAGGCACTTTCAGCAAATACAGAGGAGACTGAAAAAGCTGAAATTTGGAAAAAGACAAGTGAAAAAGAGATCAAAGGAGAAACTGAGAGTCAGCAGCAGTCTGCAGGTAGGAACTGATCGTTTTATAGATGCATTCTAAACGATGTAATTAAACAATCAACATAAAGACATGTAAAACTACGCTAAGTAGCCAGTATCTGACAGGGCAGATAACTGGATATTGTATCAATGAAGAGAAGAAACAAACTACCTAAATAAAAGCCTAGACGTTAAATATTATCTTTAATTACAGAGCTAAGCCCGAGCAAAGTGCATGAGTCAAATGAAATGGGGAGACAAACTAAGAAAAAGCAGCAGCCTCCAGGTAGGAAGTAGAGCCAGAAATGGACAGAAGCATTTGTGATATACAACTGCAGACAAATTAAGGTCAAATATCTTAGAATAAGTATAAAAGGGTGAGAGTTTAGCGGGAGAGCTTTATAAAATTTGAATAAAGTTGCAAGGAAAATGAATGACTCTCTCCAATGCTAATGCCTAGTGTCGATCCAGTACTGCCGAGTTTCCCCTCACATCAGTGCTGATGCGTTTCAGTTCTGATATGCAGCATCTCCTGTTTTAGTTACTTTCCCCACTCCTGACCTGAAGTTAGGATATAAATATGGGTGTCCAGAAGTGAAGGATTTATGGATTAAACCGTTATCCTACTTAGTTCCTGTGCAATTGATTGTCCTCTGGACATATACGACTAATGGAGAAGGAGGAAAGATAAACAATGCAGATGGGGGGGGGGAAATTGCAGAGGCCACAAATTTCATAATTACAACAGGGAACTTTTTAAACTTTAGCTTATTTTAATCAGTAGGCATCACTTTAGTGCCAGTTTGGTCAATCCAAAAGGAATAATTGTATTTTTTCAAATTCTGTAGATAATTGTAACAGTCCCATAAGTCTGTACTTGTCACAGGTCTATTAGCACGTTTTCTAAACTGTTTTTTTAGACTCTGATTTCTATATGAATCTAAATTAGACTTATCTCAGACTTTCATTTGTATGAAAACATACTGTGTAATATCAGCAAAATGTGGTGAAAAATTATTTCCTTTCATCATTCTCTGGGAGAACCACATTTTACAAAGTTACTTGCACATATAAAAGGCTTTTTAAAAAATTGCCAAATGCTTAAATTTTTCATTTGAAATTTTAATGGTATTGATAAATCTGAAGAAATGCTTTTTGATACATGGTAAATAAGTTAATATAATTCTTTGTTCTGTATTTATGTAGTGAAAACCCCAGGCAAAAGAGGTAGACCTAGGAAAAGACCAGTTGTTCCACCACCTGAGACACCTGTTGAAACAGAGCAAGAAAAGTGTGACAAGAACACTGAGGAGGCAGCAGATAAAACAGAATTAGTGGAAGGCTCAACATCTGACTCCAAGAAGGAGAAAATAGGAAAGGGAAGCTTGACTACCCCAGAATCGCATGGTTTGAGTGAAGACAGTCAGACTGCAACTGTTAAAGCGCCAGATACAGAATCGGTATTACCTGATCTAAACGCAAGTCTGCTGCCTGATGCAGATATAAAGCAGGAAGGCTGCAGTGAGACACCTTCACAATCTTCTGAAAAAACTGTGAAAGGTAAGAGCTGATGTAGAGATTTGTCATCTTGTTTGTTCATAATTTTTCATTGGAGTCTCAGCCATTTTCACCCTAAAGGGAAGTTGTAGCTGTTTTCGTAACAGAACATTTTGGAAACTGTTTTGTTTTGTTTTTTTTGTTTTTTAATTTTGCCCTTTCAGGTTATTTGGCTTGGCTTAGGTGTAAACTACATTGCACAACATGCTAGAATTCCCATAGCTAGAATTCAGGAACACTGATGTGTACTGTTCTCAGCTTCTTCCCCTCTATAGGCCCCACACTCCCCCAGGATTCCAGGACAATTTGCCTCCTCCTAGTCTCTGGCCCAAAGGTCAAGTTGAACAGATTAACAGTAGAGACAGATTCTTAGGAGCACATGCTAGGATGGAAAGTTTCAAGCAATGAGGAGTTGGGGAAAGTCAGTACCTATTAGTGCTTCCTCTAGTCTACCCAGCCTTTAGAAAGTCCTTGATTCTGTTCTCATTCATGACGGTGCTTCTGCAGATTCACAGTATGAGAGAGTGTGCCATGCCACATTACCTATGGAACCCATTTTAAAATGGTTAACTGTTGGGGAAGTTTGAGTGGTAGCCGTGTTAGAAACAAGATTACAAAAGCCTCCAATTGTTACTCAAATTCAAGCTGCAAAGTCCTGCAGCTTTATGTTGGGGTGCATTAATGTTTGGGGGCTCAGATACCCACAAAGATTTTTTTCTGTTTTCTACACTAGTAAGCACAATGATGCTTCAATTCTAACTGAGGCCTTTGGGCAAAATCATAATATAAATGTTTACTGCTAATAATGACAATGCAATCAACCATTTTCTAGGTCAGGGGAACCTATCAATCTGCATGTCTCCAGAAGCAAATGTTTTGGTATTACCTTAGACCAGTGGTTCCGAAACGGGTTCGTAAAATGTTACAGGGGGTTCTCAGAAAAAAATTCCCTAATGGCAGACAGAGCTATCCCTAGGGACCCCGGGCAGCATGGGGCTGGCAGGCCGGAGCCCCTGGACTTCCAAGAGCTAAGCAGATCAAAGCAAGCCTATCTATCACACTGAGGAGATTTAAACTTCAAGACTCCTTATAAGAAATGGAAAGGGAGGTGGATATTTTTTGCTGTTTTTAAAATGAAATAGGCAGCTAGTCTTGTTTTTAAAATATTATGAAGAACAAGTTTAAGCTTTTGTTGTAACGTGTTGTTTGCTTGGACTGCTCAAGACCTGAATGCTTGTGTAGGAGGAACTCTTTGAATTGGCTTCTTAAGTACCTTCCTGCTGGTTCACAGTTGATACTCCTTGTTGAAACATAGGAGCCTTGTCTTATAACAGGCTTATTCAAAGTGATACAAGCTACGAAAGTGAGATCTTGGAAGAGTGGTGCCGTTTTCATAATGTAATCAAAATACTGGAATGATAAATAATAAATAATAATAATTTGTTTTTATGACATGCTTATTACACACTATTTGTGTATTTCCAAGATCATTGCGTTCATAATTTATACCCAGGAAATATTCATTTTCAGGAGGGGGTTCGTGAGACTTGACATTTTAGTGAAAGGGATTCACAGGTTGTTAAAGTTTGGGAGCCACTGCCTTAGTCCAAGTTAACCAGGAAACTCTTTCCACAGACCCTTAATTTTTTTTAATGGAATCAGTGTTCTCCAGTCCAAACGAAACTAGTTGACATCTGTGCAGTATTTAAAATTCAGTATTGAGCAGCATATCCGTCAATTACACCTGTATAACGTAAGTTTGTGTTTCAGTAAACTGAAATGCACTGAGAATGTTACAACAATCTGCATGTCCTCCTAACATTTTAATTTCTATGTGGCTACAGAAGTCAGTCTTAAGTACCTACATCGGGAACTGAAATTTGGTAATAGAGTGCACTTCAGTCTAGCAGACAGAGGTATAATCGGATCGAGTGGCTGGAAATCAAGCTAGACAAATTCAGACTAGAAATAAAGTGCAAATTTTTAACAGAGTAATTAACCATTAGAGCAATTTATCCAGGTATCTCACTGGAGATTTTTTAATCGAGTCGTTTTTTCCGTAAATGATGCAATCTAGTTCAGTCACAGATAGATATTAGACTTCAAGCAGGAATTAATTCAGGGAAGTTCTATGGCATGTGTTATAAGGGAGGTCAGACTTGATCACAGTGGTCCCTTCTGGCCTTGGAATCTCTGAATTCTGAGCTGATGTCTCTACAAGGGAGAAACTGAGAGCAGTTGTAGTGCTTCTTTTGTCTGTAATGAGCTTCATGCTGGAAACAAGGCACTTGCAATGACATAGTAAATACAAATGTTGAATTTCAAGTTAATTTGGTGATACGATCCCTATGTCTGTTTTAAAAAAACCTCTAGCTTGGCAAGCCAAACCGTGTAAGAAGCAGTAACGGTCATAGACCTGGTGTTTGCTTCCCACACTAATGAAAAATATTTAAGCTATGTACCGAATACCTTTTAAATTAGTGTAAGTCCTTGCTACAAACTCTATTTTATGGCTTTAACAGATGAATTTGGATCAGGAGATACAGAACCAGAGTCTAAACGAAGAAAAGTGGATTCCTCAGCAGATAAATCCAAGACACCAAGCACTCCAAAAGGTAAAATCTAAAATCTTGGTTTAAAGTTCTAAATCCCAATTAAACTTGATTTTAGTAACTAATATCTTAATTATAGGAACTGTGAGCACTGTTTATGCATGTTTATAAATAAAATATATGCATACATACACTGAATAATCTGTGTTTCTGATGGATGAAATACCTTTTTACACCTGTGAGAGAAAATTATTTCAGATTGTATAAGGTTTATTTCTAGTGCTGTGAATGATTTGCTAAGATGTTCTGTTCTGTAAGGGTATGTCTACACTGCAGTTAGACACCCATGGCTAACACGTGCCAGCTGACTTGGGCTAAGGGGCTGTTTAATTGTAGTGTAGACGTTTGGGCTTGGGCTAGAGCCTGAGCTCGGGGACACTGGAGGGTTTACCCTGGAACTGAACAGCTGTGGGATTTTAATTGCAGTGTAGACATCTCCTAAGATTTAAGGCTTTTTGAGTGTTGGGAGTTGAGATGTCCATGTGAACTGATCTTTGTGGTGCCATAATTTTTAATTTTGTTTGCAGTGTTATTGTAGCCATGTTGGATTACTGGATTTGGGAAGCATGTACATGCACAGGGCAAAGGAATTTATTAGGAAATTTGAATTCTGACATGATGCTTGTATAAAATTGTCCTTGATCTAGAGCATGCTTGCATAATTCACTTAATGAAATATATTATGTTTAGGGAGAACAGTACAAATAAAATGATGCAAAGACTAACAAGGGACTTAATAATTACAAATTATACCTTACATCTTATGTTCCTAAAGTTCATGCTTCAGGGGGTCAGGAAAGGTTATCCCCTCAAAACCACAATGTATTCTGGGTTTTCTTTGGTCCCTTTCCTCTGATTCATCAGACATGGGACACTGGATGGGTAGGACGGTGGTCTGAGGTGGCACCGAGCATTCTGTCTTCCACATGCTTAGCTGATTGAGTCATACTATATGTGCTCAAGGTCTACATATGTGGGGTCAGGAAGGAATTTTTCCCCTGGGTCAAGTTGGCAGTGACCATGCAGATTTTCACCTTCCTTTGCAGCATGTAGTGAAGGTCACTTGCTAGGACTATCTGGATATATCTCGCATAATGGCTCCCCATTTCAGGGGCCTTGGGAACTACTGCACCTCGGTCCCTCCTATTCTGTTCCTGTGGCACATAATGGTTTAGTCTTCTGTGGGCTGTAATACCCAAATAACTAATTTTGGTTGTTGGGGTTAGTGTGCGGGTGAAGAGTTGGTGATCCCTTCCGGCCTTACCAAAA